CCCGATTTATTTCTATTATTGTTGTTGTTACTAATATTGCGTGCAGGAAATGTAAGTGACCCGCCTTAGCCTCGTCACTACTTCGTCGAGGTTAGGCTCAGCACTTACCGGTACATGGGGTCGGTTGTACAGATACTACACTCTGCACTTCTTGTGCAGATTTTGGCGTTGGTCCCAGCGGCGTACCATAGACTTGCTCGGATTTCAGCTACTCGGAAGAGACTTGAGGTATAACTGCACGGCGTTCGCAGTTCTGAAGTCCTCATCTACTTTACTTTAGTTGTGTGTTTGTTTCCAGACAGCTTTATTTTATTCAGACCTTTATATGTATTTATTCTAGAAGCTCGTGCACTTGTGACCCCAATTGTGTGATGGTATTTAGATACCGTTGTTTTTATGGATTATTCACTATATTTAAGACTTTACTTCCGCAATTGTTCTTTGTTGTTAATAAATTTAAAAATTGTTTTAAAAATGGATAATATTATTCTAACGTTGGCTTGCCTAGCAAGTGAAATGTTAGGCGCCATCACGGTCCGAAGGTTGGAATTTCGGGTCGTGACAAATCTAGAGATGATCCAAAAATAAAAGTTGTAGCCCTTGGCGTCTAGTTGTCAGAAAGGTAAACCATTTGTCATTGTACGGGAAGTGTTTGGAAATCTCTGCTGCATAGGGGTGACTTTGGAAGCTTATAACTCGCAATCGACAATGAATTGGGAGATGATCAACATATGAAAGTTATAATCCTTGATGTCGAGTTCCCATAAAGTCAAACTATTTGTGATTTGGAGTATTGTACAAAAGGTTATGACCATTATACTATAAGTTGTCTGAGAAGAGTTTGAAAATAGCTTTTGAGAATTTTGTTCATCGCGAACGTGATGGGGGAGGGGGGTGGGGATTGCGAACGTGAAGAAGGGTCGCATGGGCAGTGTATAAGTTTGCAAAAATGGGTTTGGCTTATTTCATCTCATTTCCTCCATGGGAGTCGACCTAGGAGCGATTTTGGAGTTCCATCTTCATCATCTATGTCAAGGTAAGTGATTCCTACCTATTTCAAGTTAAATACTTGGTTTATATATGAATTTAGGCGTGAAAATTCATGAAAATTAGTAAAAATTTGAGATTTTGAAGAAAACCCTAGAAATTGGTATTTTTGAATTTTAACCACGAATTTGGCCATGAGATTGAGAATAAATTAGATATTTGAGTTCGTAATACTATGGGAAATGTTTGTCTTCAAAAAGTTTCGAAATCCGGGCACATGGGCCCGAGGGTGATTTTAGAGATTTTTCGAGCGAAGATGGAATTTGTTGTAAATTGAATTATAATAAGTATTAGAGTATATATTTATGGGTTTGCACATTTATTTGACTAGTTTTGGAGCGTTATGCACCGGTTTGAGGAGTAAAGAGGCTTTGGAGTCGGTTAAGGAATTTCGGAGCGAGGTAAGTCTCCTTTCTAACCTTATAAGAGGGAATTTACCCCATAGGTGAAATAATTCGATATGTGCTTCTATTTGTGGGGGCTACGTATGTATGTACGGAGTGACGAGAGTCCGTGCGTAGCTACTATTATGCTTATGTCCAGGTTGTCTAAGACCCAAATCACGTTATTATTTTCGATGCTTGCATCCTACTTGTTAATTTAACCGTTTAAAACATATTGGAACTTGATAAAAGAATTTCAAGAGGTTAAACTTCACCTACTTGGGTTTCAGACGGGTCACTTGACCGTTAATGAGAATTGATATTTCTTTGAACATCAAACCTAAATAAATCCTTGATTTGGTTGTTTGAATGTGTTTATCTTTTTTGGAACGGGCCGAACGCCTCAGCAGATTAAATAGATGCATCTATAGTTCGCGCCGTTCGATCCTCCGGCAATGCACAGTTTAATATTATGTTGGATCAGACCGTACGATCTTGGCATGATTTGTGCATGACATAATTGATTGTTTTGGAATTATTGATAATTGATATGGCCTCACTGGTCGGAGATATAAATTGTTAAAATATGAAAATAACTTTGGAAATCCCCTATTAAGAACTTCATGTAACTAAGTTTACAGTTACCTTATAAAATCCATAATTTATCATATTATCGGTATATTATTGTTGGCCATAGTAAGTGTCCGAGTTGACCCCTCGTCACTACTTCTTCGAGGTTAGGCGGGATACTTACTGAGTACACGTTGATTTACGTACTATACTTGTTGCACATTGTTTTTGTTGTGCAGGCACCTATATATTAGTGGCCTTGTGGGCGCAGCGGCATGATTAATGCAGAAAATTAGGTGAGTTGCATTCCATATTATGACCCGCATCCAGCAGAGTCTCCTTCAGAGTACTTGTATTTTCTTTTCTGTCCAAATTTGTATTCCGGACAGTTATTGTATTTTATTTTATTTTCTAGTAAATGCTCATATACTTGTGACATCAGGTTCTGGGAAGATTATAGAATACTCAGTATTGAAATTGGAAAACATTATTATTATTCTGTAAAGTTCGCCTTTTTACTAGTTAAGTTGAAGAAAATTTATGATTTCAAAAAAAAAATTAAAACGAGAATTTAATTAACTATTTAGTGTTGGCTTGCCTGACAGTGGTGTCCGGTACTATCACGACCTTTAATAGATATTACGTCATGACATCATAAATTAAACCATTTGGCATTTGGAGCTATGTACGAAAAGTTATTGGTACACTACAAGCTGTCCAGGAAGATGTTTGGAAATCGCGAAGAACAAATTTTTGTTGCACAGGGCTGAATTTGGAAGCTTATATCTAGAAATCTATAAGGAATTGGTAGATGACCAAAACATGCAAGTTGTAGATCTTGGTGTCTAGTTTTTAGAAAGATAAAGTATTTTTTATTTGGAGTTTTGTATAAAAAGTTATGACCATTATACTAGAAGCTATCCGAAAGAGTTGGAGAAGGTTGTTGGAAATATTATTCTTCGCGATCGCAGGAGAATGGCCGCGATCGCATAGAGTAAAAAATGCTGGAAATATTTTTGTCCTTCACGATCGTGGGAGTTTGGCCGCGATCACATAGGGTAAATGACTGGACAACAGAACTTAAATTCTAGAAATGGGATTTCGTCCTATTTTTCTCTTCTCGCGATTTTGAGCTCGGGTAAGACGATATTTGAGCGATTTTCACGGGAAAACATTGGGATAAGTGTTCATTATCCTATATTAATTATATTTCATGATTCCATACTCATTTACCTCATGAATCCGTGAATTTATGGAAGAAAAATCAAATTTTTATAAAATCTTCTAAAAATATAAAATGAAGATTTGAAGGTCAATCCGATGTCGGAATTTAATAATTTTTGTATGGTTGAACTCGTATCAGAACGGGTGTTTAGATTTTGTGAATTTTTCCGGGATTCGAGACGTGGGTCCCACTATCAAATTTTAAAATGAATTTCGGATTTTAATCCGAAAAATTAGTAAATTTATATGGAATTAATTCCTACGATTCGTGTTGAGTATATTGAATTATTTGTGACTAGATTTGAAGCTTTCGGACTCGAATTCGCAAGGCAAAGGCTTATTGAATTCTTGAAATTGGTTACGAAGCGAGGTAAGTGTCGTGATTAACCTTAACTTGAGGGAATAGAACCCTTGAATTATTTGTTATGTGAAATTCATGTGGACAATGTATAGGCGAGGTGACGGGTGTCTATACGTTATCAAATTAATAGTTTGCATAATTATTTAAAAATCATAACTTGTTTTAAGACACGAAATAATTGTTAAAATAATTATTTCTCTCATATCCCTTATCAAATATTAATTCTTGAATTCAAGCAATAATTGTTACATGCTTATTTGATTTATGTGTCTTAATTGTTACTTGACATTTAGCATATTAAATATGAAATTACCTATCTTCTCCCTGATTTTCCACAATTAATTGCTACTTATCATTATTATTTTCTAAATAAATTATAATCATTTTATGCTTTGTTGCCTAATAATTTTTTATTGAATGTGGTATTTATTGGAGTATTTTTATTACATTTAAAAGTTGTTAATTTATATTGTTGGAGCGGGTTGCATGCCGCAACGGAGATGAAAATGAATTTTATTGGGGGATCGGGTTGCACGCCGCAACAGATTATATTTTTAAGTTTATATTGTTGGAGCGGGTTGCACGCCGCAACAAAAATTTATTGATGAATTATATTATTGGAGCGGGTTGCACGCCGCAACAAAAATTTATTGATGAATTATATTATTGGAGCGGGTTGCACGCCGCAACAAAAATTTATTGATGAATTATATTATTGGAGCGGGTTGCACGCCGCAACAAAAATTTATTGATGAATTATATTATTGGAGCGGGTTGCACGCCGCAACGAAAATTTATTGATGAATTATATTGTTGGAGCGGGTTGCACGCTACAACGGAAATTGATTGAAATAATAATTGGTTATGACTGCCGAGTTGGCTTCAACTGTTGAAATGAGTTACCTGTTTTATTTCTTTTATTGTTGTTATTACTATTATTGCGTACAGGCTAATGTAAGTGACCTACCTTAGCCTCGTCACTACTTCGTCGAGGTTATGCTCGACACTTACAGAGTACATGAGGTCGGCTGTACTCACACTACACTCTGCACTTCTTGTGCAGATTTTGGAGTTGGTCCCAGCGGCGTACCATAGACTTGCTCGGATTTCAGCTACCCAGAGGAGACTTGAGGTATAACTGCACAGCGTCCGCAGTTCCGAAGTTCCCTTCTACTTTATTTTTTTTGTTGTGTGCTTTCTTTTAGACATCTTTATTTTCTTCAGACCCTTGTTTGGGTTATTCTAGAAGCTCATGCACTTGTGACAACAGATTCGGGGATGCATTTGGATGATTCGTTTGTTATGGTCTTCCGCACTTTATTTCAGTAATGAACTTTTATTTAATTTAATTTGTTTAAAAATTATTAAAATTATTCTAATGTTGGCTTGTCTAACAAGTGAAATGTTAGGCGCTATCACGATCCTGAAGATGGAATTTCGGGTTGTGACACAATCTCATTAATCGTATTGTTGGTTTGGTTTACATTATTTCGTGCATATGCAGCAAGTTTTGTACTTTCGCTCAATTCGATGTTAGGATTCTCAACATGATCTAAGATTAGATTAGGTGTTGGGTGAAAAAAAGAAAATGGATTAACAGCCGGCGAAAAAAGAGCTATTCCTATATCTACGCCACATTCTTCAACCAAATTATTTGCTTTCTTATATAACCCCGACCGCCGCTTAGAGAATGTAGTGTAGCGATCCTCTGGGCCTTCTATTCTTTCCAGAGGAATTGATTGGCGTCCTGCAGTCTTCTTCTCCTTATCCATTGCTAAAGTAAAATAAAATTTATTGCTCAATTGTTTTCATTAAATGTGGCTTACAGAAAAAGGTAATATCATGGGAATTTATATACGCATGTTGAGAAGTTATTCACAATAGTAATTGAATTTCTAGCCAAATATTAAACTAGAAAGTAATCTTCTTCATATTAAAAATTATAGTAAAAAATTTAAATTGATTTGATACTTAGAATATGATTTGCACGTCAGTAACATCAATCGAATCTGAAATTTTAAATTAAAAGAGGTAACTGGTTTAATATACTTAATTAAATTTACCAAGTAATAATTAATAATTGTGAACATAAATTGATGAAACATTGGTTACGTACCAACGACTTTCACACCGTTACAGTAACTAAATCAAATTTTTTACTTGCACAACCAGAAATAAATTTACCATTTTAACGTGAAAAGGAAAATATATTACCAATAGTGAAAATCAAGCATTCAACTTAATACTAACCAGATCTGAAATTTCAATTTAATTAGAAAATATTTTAATGTGCTTACCAAAGTAAATGTGAATATAACTAGAAGAGAAAAACTTTCAGATTTTATGATTTTAAAATTTTGGAAATGCATTAACATCAATAGAAAAAAAAGCTGGCACTTTACTTGGAAATGCACTTTACTTGGTAAAACAATTCAGTTATATTTTACATCAGTGGGAACTAAAAAATTAAAATTTCCCTTTATGGTGATTGATAATTATAAAGACATCCTGATTATAGGAATTAATAGATATATATCCCAAGTCTAATTAGAATTTTCTTTTGCAAATTTTGTGGAAAAATGTCAATTCATTAGATCTAGAAACCATATTAAATCATAAAAGAGACTTGAGTAAATTGTTGTCTTACAAAGAACTCAGATCTATTCTTAATCTTAGAAGATCCAAGTGAAATAATGTAAAACAAATATGAAAAGTTAAAGAAGAGACTTGTACATTATGTATATATGAATATATAAATACAATTGCACACGCACCTTAGATTAAACAGATATTTGATCTTTCAGATTGCAAAAAGGAAAAAAAGGCAAGATTTATGATAATTGTATCTTCTTATCATCGCTCCCATAACTACAAGTATGACCTGAAATCAAGTAAATATAATTTAAAATAAGCAAAAGTTGCAAATATGTGAATTTAATCAATATAAATAAATATATAAAACTTTTCAAAGGAACCGATGAGGAGGTGAACTATCAAATTTATAGTGTAATTGTATACTCTTGAATAATATGAAAGAAAAAGTATAATATCAACGTTATTCTCTTGAATTATGTGATTTTAGTTCACAGAGGAAGATGTAGCTTTTACAGTTACAGATATACAGCTAACCAATAGCTCGCGAATATTTGTATAAATATAGTATTGGAAAGAACGCAATGTATCTAATACCGTATTAAAAAAGAGTGAACTTATTTATGTCGTTTTATATTGATATTCTTAATTATCTCGAGAAGTGACTCTGTAATTACAATAGTAGTGATTTGTGCGTAGTCGTAAATGACCTCATTAGATTTACGAATTAATTCTTTTCTAATACTCGAATACGAAAAATATTATAAGGATTCTTTTTGGTCTTTAAATCTAAAGAGATTAGATTTTGAGTTTTAATTTTTTTTATAATAGGCAAGGCACCAAATATGCCCTTGAACTTTGAAATGGTCTAAATTTCCCTTTGTTCATAGTTGGGGTCTTGTCGTTACGAAAATAGGTTAGATTTGCCCTTATTAACTAACGGCAGAAGCTTTCCAATATATCAGACTTTTTTTTTATAAGGGAGTTCAACTTTGACCTTGAATTATGTGAAATTGTCCGAGTTTGCCCCGAATTTTGAAGAACTTGGTCATTATTGTCTTCTTCAACACAGAGAATCTCCAACGACAAGGTCTTTATTTCCTAAGCTCAAATTAATCACCCTCACTAGGATTTTTCTGGCCATCATATTGAAAAATTTCCAAATAAAATAGTTTCAAATGGATTTTCATGCCAACAAAATCATTGTAAATAATTTCATTGGTAATTATTATCTGCAACAACAAAAACAACAACAAACCCAGTATAATCCCATAAGTGGGGTCTAGGAAGTATAGTGTGTATGTAGACCTTACCCCTACGGTGAGGGAGAGAGGTTGTCTCCGATAGACCCCTGACACAATGAAAGATGAAGAAAAAGCAGTAGCAACAAGCAGTAACAACAACAAGATATTAAGAAAACAAGCAGAATGATCAACATGTAGTAATATAGATTTATCAATAATAAAATACAAGGCTAAATACTAATACTACTGGTATGGGAAAGACAAACACTCAACTATCTACTAACCTTCTACCCTAATTCTCTACCTCTACTCCAGAAAAGTTATTCAGAGATATTTTATCTGCAAGTAAGTTACACGGGGATTGTAAATACATATATAAGTTGTGAACTTTTCCGCAATTATTATAGAAACTTCACAAGAAAATTTGATAAAAACTTGTGAACAAAAGGAATTCTCATAAGGATTTTGATCAATTTCAAATCCTGGCTCCGCCTACATTATCCAAAAGTATGTTCTATTGGAGTAAAAAGAGGAAGACAATTAGATATAAAACGGAGTTGTAACGACCCGACTTGTCGTTTTAAGAATTTACGTCCCCTTCAGCAGCTTAAGGTCCCGAGTTTGGCTTTCAGATGATATTGAAAGAACAATTCTTATTTTTGAAGCTTAAATGAGAAGAGTTAGACCGGAGTTTGTCTTTTGAGCAAACGACACTGGATTGGAATTTTGATGATGTCAATAGCTTCGTATGGTGATTTTGGACTTAGGAGTGTGTCCGGATATTTATTTGGAAGCCCGTAATTGATTTTGGCTTCTTCATCGTCATCAATCATAACAATGTCTATGACCGTCCCAGAAGGAGAACCAGGCATCATCGCCACCAGAGATAGTTCGGGGAGAGCAGTATTCGCCCACTTATTCTTCTCCCCGACAACGTAGGAATGTCTTCTCTTCGGTTGCTTATCTTCTGGCCGAGGGCTTCGTGAAGATGTGGTTGCACCCGAAACATGCCCGGAGATATTTGTTCGAGTGAGAGCATCGTGAAGCAGCCTTGCTGCATCAGCAGGATCAGCCAAAACGTCCTTGTCACAGCCCAACATCCGTTAAGGCCGTGATGGTGCCAGATATCACTGTCAGGCAAGCCAACAATAATTACTCAATTGGGTTCTCATTTTTTTTTATTATTTTTGAAATCATATTTTCCTTCAGCTTAACAAGTAAAGAATAGGATTTACAAAGTAACTAATATTAATACTTTCAATATAATCAATAAAGAATAACCCATAACCACTCCAAAAAACCGGTGTCACAAGTGCATGAGCATTTACTAGGGAGTTAAAATAAAATACAACATCTGTCCGGAATACAAATTAGACAGAAACAATATATAAATAACTTTGAAGGAGACTGTATTGGCTGCGGATCGTAAAGTAGAATGCAGCTCACCTGAGTCCGCGTATTTTTTAACCACACCTCTGCGCCCACAAGGCCGCTAGATATATCTGTACCTGCACAATAAAATGTGCAGCAAGTGTAGCATGAGTACGAAAACAACGTGTACCCAGTAAGTATCAAGTCTAATCTCGAAGAGGTAGAGACGAGATGGCCGACTTTGACACTCACTAAGAGACAATAATAATAAATAAAATAAAAATACCAATATCTAGATCGACATGAATTATAGAATTTACAATAAATTTCTTTAACCAACAGAAATAATTAAATTGCTTCAATTCCAATAAATTTTCAATTGATCAATTAGCCTCATTTACAGGAACAACAATAATTTCCTTAACAAGCAGAGATAATTAATTCTTTCAATTCCAATAATTTTCAATTTATCAATTAGCTTCACAAGCAGCCATAAACTATCAAAGTATCGTGTAATTAATATTATTAGGTACGATTTCTGCCTAGGTCGTACGGCCCGAACCAGAGTGTCGTGTACATTGCCGAGGGACGTGAGGCGCGATCCATAGATGCATCTATACTGCCAAGGCATTCGGCCCGCTCCACAAAAAAGGAGGACATTTTCTTATGTACCTCCGGAATGAGAGTATGTTTATTATAAGATTAATTCAAGAGGATGAACAATTTCTTTTAACAATTAATTAATTTAAACAGAAATTAAGCATATGAGATTTTCATATTTTACTATCTCTCACTAATAATTTATAATATATATCAAATAATTTAATTAAACAACGGATACAATTTACACAAGTAATTCATGCTTTGAGTCCTAAACTACCCGGACTTTAGCATTAATAGTTGCTACGCACGGACTCTCATCACCTCGTGCGTACGTAGCCCCACAATTAGAAACAATTATTAATTTAATTACCTATGGGGTAATTTGCTCCTCATAAGATTAGACAAGAGACTTACCTTGTCTCAATGTCCACTTACATTCATGATGTCGTGTAAAAATCCCAATTCGGTGCCGAAAATCCGAAACTATCCAAAAGTTATATGAAATAATTAATACATGTTAAATAAATCGAAATTTATCTATTAAATAAATTACCCTATCCATAATGGTAAAATTCTTAAAATTCACCCCGGGCCCATGTGCCCGGATTCTGAAAGATTTCGTAGGAAATCGTTACCCATAACCTCAAGAACTCAAATATACCATTTCCATCCAATTCCATATCCATTTTCATGGTTAAAATCTAAAAATACCAATTCTAGGTTTTTGTTCAAAATCCCAAATTTCTACAAATTTTCATGTCTAAATCCGTGTATAATCCTTGTATGTAACTCACAACTAGTAGAAATCACTTACCTCATGCTTGATGATGAAATCCCCTCATCAAAACCTCCAAACATCGCCCCAAGCCATGTGAAAATGGGTGAAATGAACTCAATCCCCGCTTAAAAAAAACGTTCTGCCCAGCCCAGGTCCGCCCTTCTTCGCGTTCGCGACCAAAGCC